ACTTTTGATGCTAGCAGTGGTTCTCTGTACCACATAGACCTCCACTGTCCCTGCCATGCTATTTTAAAAGGGGCAACAAGGGAAAGGCAGGCAGTTGGCAAGTGGCTGTTCCTCCAAGGGTGCACAAGGCAGTAAACTGTCCTCATGGTGACCAGACGCTGGGCAGTGGGAGAGACAGAGGCAAGGCCTCAGAACTTGGAAGGGAAGCTGGGAGTCCTGACCCTCACAGTGCGCAGTTCCATACAAAAGTCAGGTGGTGGCAGTGAGCTACCCGAGAGTGGAAGAAGAGCCTCTCCAGGGGTTGATAAAAACCTAGGAGGGCAGGGCAGAATAGGGCCTGCAGGCTAGAGCAGGCACATCCTGCCACGGATGGCTTCCGTGAACCACATGTGGTTCCAGAGGAGAAGTCTCCACTATGATGACCATCTGTAGTTTGATGCATCTTACTACCTGTTTAAATGGTCATGTCAATTTCCTCAGGCCCAACATCAGCAGCTAGCATTGCCTGTAAAAGAGCTTCCCTGCCAAGCACGTAAACTTCCTGGCCCTTTCCTGCCCTTCCGGGGACTTGCCAGTGCCCAGTATGGGATCTGCTATTGCCCTACCTCCTCTCTTGGGCCTGGGACAGGCCTGGAAGGGGCAGAGAGGGGCCAGGAATCATTTATTTATTATTTTCGATTTGTATCCCGCCTTGCCAGAGAACCAGCTCAAGGCGGCAAACAGACATTAAAAGCAATAAAACAGTAAATACAATAAGATACAATAAAATATACATAAACAACTGCCTAACATCATAAAATTCTAACAAGAGCAATGCAGATGATGGTGGCTTCAATATACAATCCCATAGAGGGAGGCAGTATCCACCAGTGTTTCATATGGGCCATAGCGTGTTCCGGTGGCAGATTCATCAGTGGCAGCTCCTAGTCGAAGGCCTGGTGGAAGAGCTCTGTTTTACAGGCCCTGCGGAACTGTAAAAGGTCCCGCAGGGCCCTGATGTTATCCAGGAGCTCATTCCACCAGTGTGGAGCTGCCACTGAAAAGGCCCTGGCTCTAGTTGCGGCCAACCTGGCGGTTCTCGGGCCAGGGAGAGTCAGGCGATTCTGTGTCCCTGACCTCAGTGCTCTCTGGGGCGCATGTGGGGAAAGGCCACATTTGGGCCTAGGATTGCCAGCTCTAGGTTGGGAAATTCCTGGAGATTTTGGGGAGTGGAGTCTGAGGAGGGTGTGGTTAGGGGAGGGGAGAGACTTCATCCGGGGACAATGCTATAGAGCCCACCCTTCAGAGCAGCCCTTTTCTGCAGGTGAATTGATCTCTGTAGTCCGGAGAGCAATTGTAATACCGGGAGATCTCCAGACCCCACGTAGAGGTTGGCTACTCTGTGCGCTCCGGCCTGGCCAAGGAAGAGGAGGTGGCTTTGATGCTGAAGAGCTGGTGGTGGACGAAGAGGCTGAGAAATAATGGGGGGAGGAAGAGGGGCTTGCTGCAGAGGAAGAGGCAGAAGTGGCCCCTCTTCAGCACCCATGGTGGGTCCCCCGGCCCCAGAGCCCATGGAATCCTGAAACGTCCTTGAACTGACAGCTCCAAATCGAGGTTTGTATTTTGAGTTGGCCTTTTACAAGCTGATAACCGGTATGATGGCATTGCCATGAAACGTCTCGTGCCTCTACAGCAGTCAAGGTGTGATGCTGTTTTCACTTAGCGGCTGGACTCTTGCTGTTTTGTGCGATTTTACTCAAATGGGCTTGTTTTGCGCTCCTCGAGACCCGCGGGAGACCTTGTTTCCCTTGTCAATGAGGATCCCCATCCAGTGCCAACATCCAGCGTTGTTGAGTTTCCTCCTCAGCTCTTTACGGCACGGGGGGCTTTTATTACACCTCACACCGGGGCCTTCCGGCTCTTTTTCAGAACCTTCCCTTCTATTGGAAAATCAATGGGAGCCTGGCCTTTTCTTGCTGACTTGCCTATAAATAAGCCTAACTCTTTAAGCCTCTTTTCTTTCTCCTATTGATTTTCTCCATCTTGCTGGGTTTCCCCTGAAAGCTGGACCAACTATGCTCTTGTTAGAGGTGGACTTCTGACTGGTTCCTTGGAGACACAGCGGACACAAAAGATCAGAAAACCCCTGCGTGGAGGAAGAAGGGGGGGAGGAGGACTGAATTCCACATCCAGGTGGGTCTTGGCCAGTGCTTATTAGACCTGAATATCAAACTAGCAAAACGTGACCTACAGAGTGCGCATGAAGGAATCCTGGAAGTGCAACATGTCTGTTCTTCTGACACAAAGACATCCTGTGTCTGCACCTACCCCCAAACCCCTGCCCATGAAGGTCAGGCCATTCAGTGTCAGGAGAGCAGGGCTAGCCCCCACTGCAGGCTACACTACAGGAGTCACGGTGAAGTATGTTCCCCAGCCTTGCAGGAAGAAACACAGAATTAAGAGTCAGTTTGGTGGAGTGGTTCGGAGCACGGACTCTAATCTGGGAGAACCGGGTTTGATTCCCCACTGCTACACATGCAGCTGCTGGCATGACCTTGGGTCAGTCACAGTTCTCTCAGAGCTGTTCTGGGAAGACCAGTTCTCAAAAGAGCTCTCTCAGCCCCACCTACCTCACAGGGTGTCTGTTGTGGGGAGTAGAAGGGAAAGGAGATCGTAAGCCGCACTGAGGCTCCTTTGGGTAGTGGAGGGCGGGGCATAAATCCAATCTCTTCTTTTTCTTCTTAAGCTGGTTTCTGCTTCTGGGTCATGAGTGTGACAGAGCATGTAGATTTAGCTTTTATACTTCTAAACAATACGTGTCTAAAGCATCACTGGAATGAAAAGGGAAATATAGGGAACTAGGAAGAATGCCCGTTGTGGAACTGAAGACAACGGGGTGTTAGCCTGGCCGCGGGTGGGGGTCGCCATCTCCATCTGCCCCCTTCACGGCGAAGCTGGCTGTCCTGCCCTGCACGGTCGAGGCTCCAGTGGGCTGAGGCGCCTGGCCTCCCCCTCCCCCCGGCACCCCTGACCGTTCGAGGTGCCGGCAGGGGAAGCTGGCCAGGCTTACCCGTCTCCCTGCAATGGGCGCGAGGCCGGCCGGGCGCAGGGCACCGCCCACTTCCCGCCCCCCCCAACTCGGGGAAGCAGCCCGCATTCCCCCTCACAGGGTTGAGGCACCGGCAGGTCAAGGCGCCTGGGTTGGCCGCTCCCACCATGACCCCCGGCCGAGCAAGGCCCCAGCGGGGCAAGCGGACCGGGCTTGTCCATCTCCCTGCAGTGGGCAGCAGCTTGGGTGGCCAGCTGTGGGCCCACATCTCCTTCCCCTGCCCCCTCTCCTCTGCCCTCCTGCCGCGCAGTTGAGGCTCCAGCGAGCGAAGCCGCCTGGCCTTGCTGCCCCCCCGCCCGATCGAGGCGCCGGCGGGGGAAGCCGGCCAGGCTCACCCCTCTCCTCGTAATAGGCGCGAGCCGAGCACAGGGCGCCATCCACTTCCCGGTCTCCCCAACCCGGGGAAGCAGCCCACACTCCCCCCTGCGGGGTCGAAGCCCTGGCAGGTCAAGTCGCCTGGGTTGGCCGGTCCCGCCACCCCCCTGGCTGAGCGAGTCCCCAGCGGGGCAAGCGGACCAGGCTCGTCCGTCTCCGTGCAATGGGCGGCAGCTCGGGTGGCCGGCTGCGGGCCCGAGTCTCCTTCCCCGGCCCCCTCTTTTCGGCACTCCCTCCGCGCGCTTGAGCCCCCGGCGGGCCAAGCCACTTGGCCTTGTCCGTCCCTGCCATGGGGCGACGGGACAGGCTGGGCCTGGCTCCCCAGCCGGCCTCAGCCGCAGTGGCACAGCGCCATCTCCCCTCATATGCAGACCGCACGGGGGAAGAGCGAGGGAACGGGCCACCCCCAGCGCCTTTCCAGGTAGCTGGGTGGAGCCAGCGCATGTCGGCCTTCAATGTACAATCCCATAGAGGGAAGCAGTATCCACCGGTGTTTCATATGGGCCCGAGTGAGGGTGTCTGGCCAGTGGAAACTGAGGGCGAGTGGAAACTGAGGGCGAAAGGGTGGCAGCACAGCGAATGGAGAGGGACGCCCTGTGAGTGACACACCAGGGCGCCAACCAATTCTGAAGCGTGTGGAATGTTCTAGAGAAGTGCCACCATCATTCGGCTTTAATTTATAAGAGAGATTATGGGTGACACAAGTTGGGTTATGGTTGCCCTATTAAGTTCATTCACACATTCACATGGAGATTAACCTTTAAAAATCTCTCCATCACTCCATATAATTCCAAATGCTGCAAGGATGAACGAAGGGCTTTGGCCTTCCCTCCTGCATCATTTTCCCAATGGCAGAGGGACTCTTTGCCCCTTCCTTGGGTTTCATACACAGCAGGGAGTGAAGGTTAGTCTGCGCCCAAACGTGTGACTGGGTTGGGCACTTATGTCCTGACTGGTGTCACACATAACATGTATTTTGCCTCTTATTGGTACAGAGAAAGAGGAGACCCTTCATCAGAGCAGCGTCTGCTGGTATGAATGAGGGAAATGACTGATGGAGCCTTTTGAGAGGGGCAGAGATGGCTCGAAAGCACTTCTGCAGCCCTCCAAAAACGAGCACCTCTCATCTTAGGAAACAAAATGGTCCTGCAGGTTTTCAGCATGGTTCAGTTTGAATCTAGACAAATGTCATCGGTGGCAGGTGCTATGACAACAAACAGAAAGGCCCCTCCTGTTATAAAATTACTGCAATAAAAGAACTGGGGAGGGAGATGAAGGACTAACTGATAAACATGCCAATCCTTATATTTTAAAATATTTATACGCGGACGAGCCACCAAAAGCATGAAGGGAGGTTTGTTCCAGCGGCTCATATGCACGGAACGCAAGTAATCAATTCAGATTCTCATGCTGAACGTAGAACCCGCCTGGACCAGAGGTAAGAAGCACAGTACATCAGTCCTGAAATAATGATGCTCCTTGGCAGAAATTGTAAGTTTCGGGGGTGGAAACTAGGCCCCGTAGTCCAGCTGCGCAGTTATGTAGAGGCCACCTTATTTCCCCTCCCTTCTGAGGTCAAGGCAAGGCCCCCACGGACGGCAATCACGGCTGGCGTCGTTTCCGGCATTGCCAGCGGGATGCGGCCACAGCTCATTGTGTTCAGGATGCAGCTGCGGAACTGCACGGGGCAGAAAAACGTAGAGACAGTAAGATCAGACAAGATCCAGTTGACCTCGGAGACCATGAAAGGAGGTGAGGGCAAAAGATGGCTTCTTGGCTCTGCTACCTCCCAGGGCTCAAATTCATGCCCACAGAGGAGAGTTCCTCCTTCCCTCCCACACTTAGGGGATGTCGATAAGCGTTTTTCTTTTAACCTCAGCTCACAAGCAAATGCATACACAACCCTCCCCCTTGCATGTTGCTAGTTCCCAAGGCACTCACCTGCTTGTTCATGAAGACATAAATGACGGGGTTGTACACTGTGGCTGTCTTGGAGAAATAGGATGGCAGAGAGGCGAGTGCCGGCTGGATGGAGAGGTCCTTGCTGGTGGCGACCACCATGGCAAAAGTGGCGTAGGGCAGCCAGCAGACAAGAAAGGCCATCACCATAGTGATGACCATCCGGGTCACCTCCCTCTCCGCACGCTGGGTTGTCTCTTGTTCTTTCTGCTGAGCCGCGACCTGCGGGGAGGATGAGGAAAGCCACGAAAGAACAAACGCCTCACTGGTCTGCAATGATGCCTATAAAATGGCACACATCCAGGGGACGCTTGGCTAACCAGTAATGTTCCCATGTGATGAGCATCTGGGATTTCAGTAAAGGTCACAAGGGATATCTAAAGAATCAAGCTAAAATCTCAGTGCCGGCTCTGGAAATGAGAGACGTTTGAAAGTCAGGCTTATACTTCAAAGAGCGTACTAAAGCCATTCCCGGCTGCAGCAGAACAAGGGGCCCAAACAGCCAGGCCACCTAACATTTGCAACACCTTGATTTCGCTGGGTCTTTCTTGCGGAACCTCTCGTAGCCGGTTCACATAGGACATCTGGGTTGAGGGGGGTCAGCGCTGCTGTTGTTGCTTGGCTTAACAGCAGCGTTTGACATGGTCGACTACGATCTTATGACCCACCGCCTCGCTGCTGTGGGGATACTGGGGACAGCATTGCAATGGCTAGTCTCCTTTTTCCATGGTTGGGGACATAACATGGTGCTTGGGGAAAGGGTTTCTTTGTGTTACCCTTTGGTATGTGGCATGTTGGGGGGGTGATCCTCTCACCCATGTAGTTTAACACCTACATGCAACCCCTTGCCCAGTTAATCTGGGATGTTGGGCTGGGTTGTCACCAGTATGCTGATGACACCCAGCTGTATCTGCTGATGGGCGGACAGAAGCACTCCATCCCAGATGTTCTAGCCAAGACTTTGGAGGCTACGGTTGGTTGGTCGCAGCAGAGCCGGCTGAAATTAAAGACATTGAAGACGGAGGTCCTGTGCCTGAGTTGTGGCGGGGTGGGATTGGGAATCCAACTCCGAACCCTTGGCGGGGCGTCATTAACGCCAGCGCCTTCAGTGAAGAGTCTAGGAGTGATCCTGGATGCCTTGCTGTCAATGGAGGCCCAGGCCATGAATGTTGTCATCTTTGGCTGGTCAGGCAACTGGTTCCCTATCTCTCCTCCTCTGACTTGGCCACAGTGATCCGTGCAATGGTCACCTCCAGGCTAGACTATTGTAATGAGAAAGGAGAACTATTGGTCAGGTTAGAATGGATAAAAGGAGTAATTAACACATGGAATTCACTGCCACAGGAGGTGGTGGCGGCAACAAGCATGGACGGCTTCAAGAGGGAATTAGATAAACATATGGAGCAGAGGTCCATCAGTGGCTATTAGCCACAAGGTATGGATTGGGACTCTGGGACAGGTGATACTCTGTATTCTTGGTGCTTGGGGGGGGTCAAGAGTGGGAGGGCTTCTAATGTCCTAGCCCCACCGCTGGACCTCCTGATGGCACCTGGTATTTTTGGCCACTGTGTGACACAGAGTGTTGGACTGGATGGGCCATTGGCCTGATCCAACATTGGCTTTTCTTATGTTCGTATGTTCTTAAATAAAGCAAAAAAATTACAAAATGGTTCACAAATTTATCTGGATAAATCATGGAGACTATGGTCTATGCTGCTGCATGTAGCTTATTGTAAGTAGGATCCTATTATGTAATTTTATTAATGGGCGTTGCGTTAATACTTATGCCAGGCCTCAGTTTTTTCTGGTGGTTTGAATCCTCATGCCTTGTTTATTGAATGTCCCATGTTTTTGACTGCACTGATTCGTTAAGTGTAATCCACCTTGCCCCTGTGAGAAAGGCAGACTATAGGTAACGTAAATAACATACATAGATAGATACATAGATCCTCTCCAGGATCTCAGACTGAGCAGGGCGTTTCGCAATACCTGCTGGGATTGCCAGGTCGGATCAACCCGGTGGCTGGGGAGAGACTTCTCATGAGTGGGGGGACCACACGATGTGCACGCGATATAATGATGTCATGCAGAAGAGACATCACGTCGGTGATGTTGTACAGTGACACTCTGGTATTTGGGGCAAAACTTTATGGTTACCATAGAGTTTTGCCCAAAATACCAGAGTGTCGCCAATGTGATGACATCACTTCTGTGTGATGTCATTATGTTGCCTTTGGGGACGGGATTCCCCCCCCCACTGAACAGCTGGCCGGTGGCAGGGGAAAGGCCCAAAAATTGGGGGATCCTCCACCCCCTGCTGGGGAATGGCATCCCTAATACCTGCTAGCTGAGATGGCAACCTACTGGTGATCCCGGGGATTGAACCTTTACATCTGCATAGCATGTGCCCTGTAACCAAACCACGCATAGCCTCGGGGTACTCACTGCTCGCAATGTCAATAGCAAGTTGGCGTAGGAGAAGATAATCATGCCAAGAGGCAGAGCGAAGCACATCACAAACAAGGCCATGATGTAGCTGTTATTGTTGGTACCGCCCATGTACCAGTTGGGTCCACAGGATGTTCCTAAGCCTGGGAATGAAGCAAGTGGGAAATTAATCCAAAGTCATCGGAGAAATCCAGGTGGGTAGCCATGTTGATCTGAAGCAGCAGAACAAAATTTGAGTCCAGTGGCACCTTTAAGACCAACAAAGTTTCATTCTGGGTATAAGCTTTCGTGTGCATGCAGAACAAAACGTTGTTGGTCTGTTCATCAGAGAAATGAGGGCCTTCAGAAAGGGAATCTATGTTGTGCTCTGCTCAAATTAAGAGACATTCCGGATGGAAGGATTCCTGATCTTAGAGACTGGCTTTCAAAATCACAGTGGAAGTTATGTTTGTGTCACTTGAGGTTTGCCTCCATCAGATTTTAAAGGTTGAATTTTAAAAGGGGGGAGGGGGGCCGGCGGCGCAAAGAGAGACGAGAAACCCACAGCGTTTGTGTCAAAAACAAACAGCCACTGCCGTTTCTCTGAACGTTTTGTTCTGGAATATTGACAGAGCTCCCTGGAACATTAACAGAGGCTAGCTCCCAGCAGGCCTTGATTAACTGGAGCCTTTGGAAATCCATCAGAGTTGGTCGGCACTCTATGGCATGGGACAAAAAGTTGATCAGAGACAAACTGACAGTTGCTACAGGAGACTTGAAGGCAGTGTGCTGTTGCAGGGGGGGGGCTGGCTCTCTGTGGCATCTGGGGTTTGCCGCCCTGATTCAAAGATGGAAAGAGCGGATTGTCCAGAAAGAGAAGAGATTTTGATCCAGCTCACCAGCATCCTGAAATTAATTCTTTAAATCAGAGCATCATGAGGAGAGTGAGGCCCTTTCTACACTGGAGAATCTGAGGAGTAAAAGCCTTAAGGGCTGACTTCACGGTTGCACACATTCCCTCTGCACCGGTTCCTCCCCCCTCCGGTTTATTTGTTTGTGTATTGTGTATGCATTCTGCATCTACAAGCAAAACCTGCAATTTTTGCCTCATTGATATGGAAACGTTGTGTGATGTTGTGTGGTTGTTGGAAAGGCAAACATCTTCCAAAACTTTTAACTGCAGACCCAACCTCTCCCTCCCTCTGTGATTCTGCAAAAAGAAAGGGAAGGGGAAATCCAGACCCACACATGCAAGACTGACACATTTGAGAGCAGGGAATCCCCTAGTCCTTTATATTTACTGATTCCTTCTTATGTTCTCTCTGGCTTTTTAAAAGTTTGCCTGAGTGGGAGGACACGTCCTGTTTCGTCTTTGGAGAAGGAAGGCAATAAAACAGAACGGGCAGGGAGCGTCAACCTAAAGAGAGAGGGGCGTAAACGGGGGAGGCCAGTGGGCAGCACTTAAATACCCGCAGAAACGATTCTACTTTAGAAAGGATTAGGACTTCAAAAGTGGATGAGAACAAAGAATAGCTGCAAAAGGAGTTTTGGTAACTGCGGGGCAACTGTGTGCTGGAAGCAGTCTGAATGCAGATTCCTGTAAAACAAATGCCAACTGGAAGTGAAAGTGGGAGGGAATGCAGAATGGAAGAATAGGATGCACTCAGAAACCGGGGCAAAATATGGGTGCAGAAAGGGGCTTAGACAACAGCCTTATCCATGAGGCTCATCCCTTTTAAAACTCCTAATCCTTGCACTTGCAAAGACAGCACATCTCTTTCCATTTCAGTAATTGCATACCCAGCAGTCTTACCTTCTGGGACGTAGCTGCTCCAGCCCAACAATGGGGGGACCGTCCAAACTAATGACCACACCCATGTATAAAGGCAGCCAATCACTGCATGCCTTTGCTGGAACTGGAAACCTCCCACAGGTTTGCAGATCACCAGATACCTCTCGAAGGCCAAGATCGCCAAGGACCAAAGGCCCACAATCCCTGAAAGAGGGACAAAAATACCAGGAGGCCCAAATACAGGACCAAGCAAGTTCTCTTGGATTTCTTACTCTGAAAAATGGAAGTAACAGGCAGCTTTCTGGTCAAGGACCTCACCAAGCATTCCTTGAGTACCAGGGCACATTCTGGAAAGAACTTCACTGTGTACCCCGTGACCAATATATATATGGCACAAATAACATTCTAAGAATGCTTGGGACACAATGAAACCGCTCTAGTGCTAACCAAATTCCTCTCTTAAGTAATGTTTAACATCATCACCATAGGGCACAGATACCCTTCCTCCCTAGGCAGGGCTTCAAGACCTCTGCTGTGGCCAGATCTCACTTTGAGAGGTAGGGGTAGCAAAATGGCTGGAAGGGTGTTTCATCTCCAAGGCGTCTGAGCTGAGGAGGATTCAGCCCTTAGGTGGAGGAAGTTGGTTGTCCCTCACCACCCCGAAGCACTTTGCCAGGCTCACAGTCTTCCTGGCTGAAGGGGGATTCCCCTTCTTTAAAAGGCAGAACAGTACCCGCACAAGCTACCACCTACCTTACAGGGTGTCTGTTGTGGGGAGTGGAAGGGAAAGGAGATTGTAAGCCGCTCTGAGACACCTTTGGGTAGTGAAGGGCCATGGGGTATAAATCCAATCTCTTCTCTTCTTCTTCTTCTTTTACCTCACAGGGTGTCTGTTGTGGGGAGGGGAAGGGAAAGGAGTTTGTCAGCCGCTCTGAGACTCCTTCGGGTAGTGAAGGGTGGGGTATAAATCCAATCTCTTCTCTTCTTCTTCTACCTCACAGGGTGTCTGTTGTGGGGAGGGGAAGGGAAAGGAGTTTGTGAGCCACTCTGAGACACCTTTGGGTAGTGAAGGGCGGGGTATAAATCCAATCTCCTCCGCCTCCTCCTCCTCCTCTTCTTCTTCCTTCTTCCTTCTTCTAAGCAGGAGAAGGCTGCTTTTGTTTAGTTCTTAGAATGGAAAATGTCATCTCACCAATCGTAAGCATTTCTTCAAATAGTCTTTGAGTGAGTGAACTGGCGGACCACAGGGGCCGGGCACCCACTGGCCCCACCCTGGCTATCACTCGAATTAGTTTCAGGATAGCTGTGTTGGTCTCCAGTAAAACAATTAGATTTGAGCCAAGCAGCACCGTAGAGACCAACCAGAACTTCAGTGTTTCAAGAGTCAAAACTTCTTTCATCAAATATCTAACAAAGGGAGCTTGGACTCTTATCCCCCCCCCCCAAATCCTGTTCCTCTCGGAGATGCTACTGAACTTGAATCTAGCTAGGGTCACTAAGGGAATGTTCTCCAAAGGAGCTGACTTCTGCTGTCTAGAGATCAGTTGTAATTCTGGGGATCTCAAGGTCCCACCTCGAGGTAGCTCTGGATGGATGACTTCCCCCCTGACCCAGCCAAAAATACCCGCCTGCAGGTTCTCTTTGCTGAACCAGAAACATCGGATACATATGGGATACAACAACCATTTTGCACTGCAGTGTACACCTGGGCACAGGGAACGTGGGTGGAGGCGTGTGTTCTCGTTTGTGGTGCTGGGCACCGGAAAGCCCCACCTCCTTGCTTGGGCCACTAAACAAAAGCAGCCTTCTCCTGCTTAGAAGAAGAAAGAAGGAAGAAGAGGAGGAGGAGGAGGAGGAGGAGGAAGAGATTTGATTTATACCCCGCCCTTCACTACCCAAAGGTGTCTCAGAGCGGCTTACAAACTCCTTTCCCTTCCCCTCCCCACAACAGACACCCTGTGAGGTGGGTGGGGCTGAGAGAGCTTTGAGAGAACTGCTCCTGAGAGAACAGCTCCAAGAGAACTTGTGACTGACCCAAGGTCACACCAGCAGCTGCATGCGGAGGAGTTGGGAATCAAACCTGGTTCTCCAGATTAACCTGGCTCTTAACTGCTACACGAAACCAGCTCTCTGTGCTGTTTCACGTGGATTTAGAGCCCTGCAGTACCCTGTTAGGGGACCCACTCATCCACTTGCAAGTTTCTGGCTGCAGGCCTGTTTGTAGGATTTAAGAAGAGCTCATTACCGTGTGATATCATGCCTCTAAGGTTTTCTGGGGAAGTGTAAAAATGTGTTTAGAGTGTTTTCATTTCACAAGCAGCATTCAGAGAAGGAATGCCTCCCTTCGTAAATCAGGTGTGCCAAAATGTTGTCATTTTATTGGGTTTTTAATAGACATTTCGAACAACCGCTTTGAGGATTTTTACTGGGTGGCTGGTATTCAGAAATATATAATGTTATGGATCTACAAGAGTAAGCTAGAAAACGCTCCTTTCAGCCTGCTTCTTCTTCCAAGCTGGGCAGGATAGTGTACCTCCTCCATTTTATGCTCACGGCAGTCCTGCACAGGGAGCTGAGAGAGCTCTGAGAGAACTGCTCTTGAGAGAACAGCTCTGAGAGAACTTAGCCCCCCCCCAATCCAGTATGGAGCTGACAGTACTGATACACACTCCTGCACAGTAGGTTAGGATGACAGAAAGTCTGCAAGGTTCAAGGCTGAGGGCCTTACGCAGTCCTCAGGCTGGGTCTGAGTCTGCCCTGGGTCCTAATGAGCAGGTGTGCCTTGCAAATTTCTTGCTGGGAAGTTAGTTTTCTGGTATGGGGGGAGGCCCTGATTCACAGTGGAATCAAAGTGCGCAGGGGGAAGGCGCTGAAGCCCCCCTCCATGCAATTTCCCCCCATCTGAAACAATCCTGAGGGATGTTATTTGGACCATTGGAGAATCCTACATGAACCCCATAAGTACACATGGAACCCTCAATGGGACAAATGGTGTCTCCCAGAGGAAGGCAGCACAGAGGGAAGGCGTTAAGTTCCTTCTGTTCCACACGCTGTGGTCCGAGCTTGAATCAGGGCCCCCCCCCCCATACCTAGGAATTGGGTTCTAACTATGGAACTAGGGTTGCCACATCCCATCTCCTTCCCAGTGAGGGGATGGGGGGCAGTCCGGGAGGGGGAGGGGCCGTCCCAATGCGGTGACATCATGCAGAGTTACATCATCACATCGGGGACACTGTGCCATGCACACACACACACCCTCCGTTTCCCCCCAACCATTTAAAGGGAACCTTCCTTTTAAATGGTTGGGGGGGGGGGAGCAGGTGCCACGCTTGCCTGTCCTGCAAGCTGCAGATTCATGGCTTGCGGGGCAGGGGTGCATGGCGCCCACTCTTTTCAAGCGGGGCCATGGATGACTGTTGGGGGACAGGGCTTTCTCACACCAGCCAGCTGGCCAGCATCTGGGGGGAGCTCCAAAACCTGGGGCATCCCCTGCCCCCACCTGGGTCCTGGCAGCCCTACATGGAACATCCAGTGCATCTCTGACTGTCAGGCCCTGTGGCAGACCTGTACACAACCTGAGCGCTGTCTAACACGGGAGCCCCCGATATGGCGCATGCAAGCACCACGGGGCCCTCTGACAGATATCCTGGTGCCCACCGACTACTTTAGAAACTGGGTAGGTCCAGGGGGGGCTTTTGCCCAGAAAGGCTTTTGATTGGCCACTGGAGATCTGATTGGCTGTGCGGATTTTCAAAGATATTGCTATGGCAACAGTTGCCACTGCAGCACAGGGATGTTTACTGTGGGACTGAAGGTCAGCTGCGGCGGCCATTTTGTGTCTGGCTTCACCTCCCGTGGCAGCCATTTTGTGGTGGTGGCAGCCACCACGCCGTCTCAGACTGCCAACGATGCCTGCAGCTCAGAGAGGTTGGGGCCAATGTTCCCTCTAAGCTGAGTTACTGTGAGCTAGCCATGATTTCCAGGCACGGGCACACGTACACACACAAATGCAAAAATACCCCCCCTCAAAAAAAAGGTTAGAGACCCCTGGTTTAACTTGTCATTGGGCCTCACATAGAAGAAGAAGAGATTGGCTTTATACCCCACCCTTCACTCGGAGTCTCAGAGCGGCTTACAAACTCCTTTCCCTCCCCCTCCCCACAAGAGACACCCTGTGAGGTAGGTGGGGCTGAGAGAGCTCTCTCAAGAACGGTCCTTGAGAGAACAGCTCTGACAGAACTATGGCTTGCCCAAGGTCATCCAGCAGCTGCAAGTGGAGGAGTGGGGAATCAAACCCAGTTCTCCCGGATTAGAGTCCGCGCAGTTAACCACTACACCAAACTGACTCCCAACATGGAGTTGGGAACTGAACATGGGTCTCCTTCCTTAATCCTAACCTGCAATGCTAACCACTGTGCTCCATTAGCTCTCGTGTCAGCTCTGCCTCAGCTGCAATTTCATGAGCTGCCCTCCTTGCCTCAACCTTCGCCCCCCCCCAATATGGAGCTAACAATAGTGATACCCACCCAGCCACGGGTGTTGTGACGATTGACTCTACCTGTTAAGGAGACCATGAACCCTTCAAACCGGCACACTGTCTTGCCAAACACGAAGAAGCCGACGGCGTTGTTGGCAAAGCTGATGGTACTTCCAAAGAAGGTGACTAGGAGGTCGGCTGTCGCCAGGTTCACCAGGATGTAGTTCAAAGGGGAGCGGAGTTTCTTGAACCGGACAGAGACCGCGATCACTAGCCCATTCGCCAGGGATGCGGAGATGGTCACCGCCCCCATGAGCACAGCCACTGAGGTGTAGACGCTTCGTGAGGCCTGGTGGGGCCACTGTGGCCCGTCGAAGGGGCCGAGCGTCCCATTCCTTAGGGAAGCCCGGGATGCATTTGCAGTTTGCATGTCAAGGGTATCGGTGGTCTCGACCTGTCAAGGGCAAGCTGGCAACCGATCTTGGAGAGCTGCAGGCCACCTTTATACAACCACAGGCGCGTCCGGAACCCAAGGAACGCCTTGGCATTAAGACACCGTAAGCTTTCTTAAGCCCTCCCAGGTCCCCCTAATCAGCTCTTCCCTTGAAAAGCAGATGAAGCCGGGAGAATTTTGCTTACTGTCTTGATGAGCAAAAGCCATCCCCATTAAAATGAGTGGGACTTTATGCCAACCTAAGGGGGTGGGCTGCTTAGTTTAAGCATCTGAAAAGACAGGTGCCGGAAAAGAGGGGATTGTTTGCGCCTGCCCCATGATTATCCCAAAGAGTCATTATGGGAAATTGCTGGTGCAGGCACCAGGACACCCCCCCCTCCTGTTCGAGAAGGATGGCATTTGGTTTTGTTTTTCCCATGTGTGATCCGGAGGTGGTCCGTGGAGCTTCTCTCACTATAAAACGTGGGAGAGCAATAGAGAAGTCAGAACCACTCCGGCCAAGCAGGTAAGACCTCCATCCCCTTGAGGGAGTCTCAGAGCGGCTGACAATCCCCTTTCCCTCCCCCTCCCCACAACAGGCACCCTGTGAGGTAGGTGGGGCTGAGAGAGCTCTCTCTAGAACCGCCCTTAAGAGAACAGCTCTGAAAGAACTTGTGACTGACCCAAGGTCACACCAGCAGCTGCACGTGGAGCAGTGGGGAATCAAACCCGGTTCTCCCAGATTAGAGTCCGGGCTCTTAACCACTGCACCGAACTGGCTTTGCCCCAGCTGAAGCTTCCAAACAGTCTTCAAAGGCTAACCTAAGCTGGGTGGTGATCAGAGCGTGTACATGTGTGGCCCAATCATGTTTCTTGAGAAGGTATCAAAGCTGGTACGCCACTGACTAAAGCTGCTACGGGCCAAGGATGAAATGTGCACTTCTGTCTGTAGACACAAATCTAAGATTTCCCCCCAGGTTGTGAACCTGCTCTTTAGAGGAGAAGGAGAAAAGCATCACAGCCAGAACAGGTTGAAGCTGTAATCCCTGACTGATTCCAATCATTTCAAACCACCCCCCCCCCCCCTGGACTGAGCTTTGGTTTGCCGGCCCTCTTTCAGCCCCGCATCTCTCTGTCCAGGCAACTAAATACAGGGGCTCCGCTGCAGTGGCTACAAGCCCTCCTGAGACTTAACCCAGATGTGTGCATTGAATTCTTTTAAAAAGCAGCCGAAGCTAGTGGCTCTCGTCACAACTTCTACTTGGGAACGCCGTTATTTCATTTAATTTACAATTTCCGAGAGACACGATTTTGATTTTTCCCCCCCTTTCTTCTTTTTTATTATTTGAGATTCTATTTATAAAGATTAAACAAATCTGACAAAAAAGATACACATAATACTGGAATACAAAATTTCGCTCTGTGTGTGTGTGTGGCGGGATGCAACTTCACGACGGTTTTCTGCAGCCGTCACATTGTAGCAAAACATCGGTATCAAACATTTAACAAGTCTTTTTTTGTTTTTGTTTTGCATGACAACCACCAACTTGCATGCAATCTTTTTAGGTATATTTATATATTGTATAATATGTACATACAGTTCCAGTAAAAAAAGGCTTTGATACAAAACAAAAGGATTCCACACGGGGCATGTCTTAACGGTAGTTGGAAAAACCAACAGAACGGCAAAATGTGTGCTTCAACAGAGAGTAATGTTATGTTATCGTCAAGAACAAGGCATGGATCCTGGCTTTTCTGTGGGTTCCTTCACGTGTTGTTCTCTACATGGGGATAATCCATTGCACAGCCCTACATGGGGATAATCCATTGTGCAGGAAAAATCGTGCATGCTCTCATACTGTTGCAGGTGTGCTACAAGGATTTATTTTGTTACAAGGGGCGTTTCTGCATTCTTATTTCCCTCCCTTGTAAGTTCTTGTTTCTTTTTTTGGGGGGGGGGTCCTGTTCCACATGTGTTTGCTCCTGTAGTGGTCGATTCGATATCACACTGGTTTATGTCCAACATAAAAAAACCTGCAAGGAGATATGCTGGAAATAAACAGGTGTAATATTGAATCGACCACTAGAGGGAGCAAAACGCATGCAGAACAGGGGGAAAACCCCCAACAGGAACTTACAAGTGAGGAACATGAGAATGATGAGGAAAAGCTCAAGGACATGGAGAAGAAAACTGAAGTAGGCAGCCCTGAGACCCTTCGGGCATTTTCACAAGCAAGCTGTAAACTGGCTCTTGCTTCTGGTGGGTATGTAATAAAGAACACAAAAACTACAACGGCCAGAGGACTCATCAGCGTAACAAATGCCTCTCTCTTTTGCATTAGCAGCAGCCAGAAGTTCACAAGCAGCACAAGGAAGGTGCAAAGGTGATTTGATAACAAAGATAACCATATATGTTAGAGCGTGTGTTTGAAACCCCTGCTTGCCAGTTAAAGTATCAGAACAGTTAACGCAACAGAAAAGGAACACGGCATGATTGTCCAAAGAAAACTCATCTATATAATGGAGCTCTTTAAAAAAAAGGATGTTGAAACTACTCCACGACTGAAGATTTTCTTGGAAGTAACAATCTTATAACATTGAGAGAGAAAAAATAAAAGCAGAATTTTAAAGACAGAGATCTGTCCGAGCACAGAAGACATTTTTCCCACCTGCAGAGAATACATGCATAGGGCATAAATGGTGAATATGTTAGTCAGACAGACTTCCCTTGTAAAAAACAACTGCACAGTTACCAGGAGGTTCTGAACTCATGCAGCATTTTCCAGGCCTTTCTCCATGGGACCTGCAAGTGATAATGGCTCTCTGAGCCCCCACAACAGGAAAAGTGTACCTTGTACTTCCTGTTTCCTCAGGGCAACATGTGAGAAATGCCTTTGTTTGTGGGTAGCTGTCTAAATAGGAGCTTAGATTTGCCAGGAAATCTGTAAACTAATATCATGAGAACTAGCGTCACGTGAAATCCGTAAAAGAAAAGGCCAGAAAACAAAGTCTGGATGAACATACTGGTTTTTGAACGAAAAGAACTTGGACAAGAGAGTCTGAATTGTGCTATTGGCAGAACCATTAAAAAAAAAAATCCGAGTAATTTTGTTTTTAACATGCTGTGCGTTGGCCGTGGAAGTCAAAACTCGCCTTTGAATGTCGCTGAAGGGTGACTCCTCTGATGACTACTTGGGCTTGGATGGAAGCCGCTCTCTCTGGTTCGCTGTTTCAGAAAGATCAGCTCTGAACTTGCACTTAACAAAAAAGAGACTTGATAGAAGCCAGCAGAGAGAGTAAGGGGGGCCGGGAATGTCATGTTTGAAGCCAGTGACATGAAACTACACAGGAAAAGGAAGGCTTGTGGTTCCTTAAAAAATATTAGCTGCACAAAGAAGGAAAGTGGGGTGCTCCTTGGCTGTGAAAGAGCAACGGGAGGGCCCGGAGGGGAGGCTGGACTTCTGGCCTCCGAGCGCAGGTGCTGCTCTAGGAAGCAAAAACCCAAATCTTTGAAGGTCTGTTTGTATTACCCCAGGAGGGAAGGAGGCAGAAGGCAGGACTGAAGGAAGGAAGGAAGGAAGCAACTGCCTCGGTCAGCTGCACAGCCCTTAACATATATGTTTTGCACAGATCATCAGACAGGGCAAAGGGAGTGTTTGGGGGGGAAGGGGGTCAAACGGAAAGCACACTCGGCCCCTCCCCCACACCGGAAACATTGTGTGACGCATCAGAAGACCTGGACCTTCGCCCCGTCCCCCAAATCAAGAAATGGCCCCGAGAGGCGACACTTTCTTTTAGTGCTGAGATGCAATCGATGCTTTGTTGTACAAGCCACACAGACAAACAAGGGGGGAAAAAAACTCGGTATATTCTACGTTTATGTTGCCAATGAAGCCGCAAGGCAGCAAGAACAGGAGTCAGGAATATCAAATAAGTCACGATTTTAATGCATGCAGGCCTTTGGGCTACCCGCCCCCCCCGAAACTGACTGGCAATTTCAAGGCGTCCCGGAGAGATCTCTAGGACTGAAGCTCGCCAAACCACGGAAAACAGGGTGTTGCTCAGCCCCCAAGGCGTTCCCAGAAAATGGACTGTAACCCACCGCTTGTTACTAAGCCCCTTTCCCTCATTCTTGCTGACTTGGGGTGCAAACCCTTCCGGTGGAGTAAACAATAAGTCCGAAGGTGAGAGCCGCTCCTTCGTCGGGTGCTGTGCTGTGTCGGACCAGGTCCCCGGGTCCATTCGTAGGGTCAATCGCTGAGGATCGCCCCCGGCAGCTCATTCGTGAGTGTGTGCCAGCGCTCAATTTTCTTATCCTTGTTTTTCAGGCAGTCGAACCAGTGCTTCAGGCGGTCCCCCTTGGCGTTGATCCCCAGCACCACGCCACCTAACACACAAGGGACAGAGACGGTTCACTAGGGAGGGCCACAAACCCAAGAGAGGAGGAGCCAGCAGCTCCGGAGAGCTGAGTGCTGGAAGCGAAGGCATGCACAACCTCTCTTTGTGTGGAACACAACAGAACGAAGAGGGGCCAGTAGAGCTAGCCAGCAACATAGGCCGGCTTTTCAGTAGGGTAGGGGCTGCGGCTCAGTGGAAGAGCCTCTGTTGGGCACGGTTTAATCCCAGTGTAATATCCACTGACCGCCACTAGGCGCCAGCGATTTACTGCCGAGCTTAACTTCCTAGGAACAATAGGGACTAGGCTCCTGCATTTTCCTTGGGGAACCAATAGGGACTTTGGCGGGAGGTTTAAACCCACCAATAGGATCTAGGGGTGTCCCCAGGTGCTGTACATAGTTGGCCACCCGGCCAGTATTCTGTGTTCTAGTTGTGTACCAGTAACCATGCTGATCACTACATCCGTCTCTGTGATTTCTACATGCATCTAACCCACTACACAACACCCAGTTAAAAGGATCTGGCCGTTAAGTGATGTGAGAGACCTCTGCCTGAGACCCTGGACAGCCACTGCCAGTCTGGGTAGAGCAGACCTACCTTGATGGACCACTCTGTCTCCTTCCTCTTGTCTGCTCTGCTGCCGTCTCTTTATTTACCCAGATTGCTTTTCTCAGGGATTCTCCTTAGCTCATAGCCAGAAATTTGGGGTTGGTGGAGCATGGGGGGATTTTGTGGGGCAGCAGAGGGGGCGGGAGGGGGCCCTGCACCCTTCCCTGAACTCCAAGTGGCGATTTCACCACTTGGAGTTCAGGCACCCTGCTTGAAAAACAGCATTTAAAGGGTTCCCGAAATTGCTGCTTGGAGTTCAGGGAAGGCGTACAGCCGCCCCTCTCCTTCCCTTCCTGCAAGGTCAGCTAGAGGGCCCCTTTAATGTCACAGGAGGGGAGGGAGAGCAGCAGCTGTTGTGGGGGGGGTGCCTCACATTTGAGGGGGCGGAGCCCTGAAATGCCCCACTGGAGCAACGGGCCTGATTCTCTTCCTTGCTGGCTGCTCCTTTCCTAACCACCAGGAGAGCAAGATGAGCTCCCTGCAGTCTCTCTCCATCCTACCTGAGACAGCTAACTAGAACACTTTCTCCAGCTTTCCTATCCTAGTACACCGTTCCTTGGCAAGAAAGGACTTCTGCTTCCTTCCTAACGTCACACGCCTTGTGTGGACTTCACTGCCAAGGCAGCATCCCCTTTCTGCAGCGCAGACTGAGTCTTAAGTGAACATTGAGGTCCATGGAACACTCAGCCTTGATTGCCCACCGATTTCTCAATAGGATCGCCCCCTGCTGCCCCCTCCAGCTGAGGATCGCCCCCTGCTGCCCCCTCACCATCAGCCCAAAGTAGGGATGCCAGGTTTGGAGTGGGAAATACCTGCAGATTGGGGGTGGGTGGAGCCTGAGGAGGACGGGGTTTGAGGAGGGGAGGGGATTCAACGGGGTATAACGCCATAGAGTCCACCTTCCGACGTGGCTGTTTTCTCCTGGTGAACTGATCTCTGTCGCCTGCCTCTGTCACCTGGAGATCAGGTGCAATAGCGGGAGATCTCCTCACCCCACCTGGAGGTCAGCAACCCTGCTCAAGCCCACGCAAGGAAATTTTATTCTGCTCCTTCTGGTGTAGCCGCCACAGGAGGAAGGAGAAAGGAGATGCAACGGGGAGAAGGTGGTCCTGATTGGGCGTCACCCAGGAGAAGGGAACGGAGATGGCGACTGGAGTGAGAAGGGGCATGCGTGATCCCCACCCTGCCCACAGCCCATAAAATACCGGCCACTGACCCTGGAAAGGCTGCAAGGAGTGCAAAGCGGAGGGAGAGCAACAGCTGTATAGTAGAAGAAGTAGAAGAGAAGAGATTGGATTTATACCCCGCCCTTCACTCGGAGTCTCAGAGTGGCTTACAAACTCCTTTCCCTTCCCCTCCCCACAACAGGCACCCTGTGAGGTAGGCGGGGCTGAGAGAACTCTGACAGAAACTGCTCCCGAGAGAACAGCTCTGACAGAACTATGGCTTGCCCAGGGTCATCCAGCAGCTGTGAGTGGAGAAGTGGGGAATCAAACCCAGTTCTCCCAGATTAGAGTCTGCGCACTTAACCACTACACCAAAAGGCAACGTGTTTGTGAATTTGTCAAGGGAGGCTGCCCATACAATGGGAGAAGACAGTTGAATCTGCTCACCCACTAGATATTCAGCGAGAGAGAACATTTTGGAATGTCAACTTGTGAACCCACTCCAAAATGACAAGAGCCTCAAACTGTCGGGCTGTGCAAGGTAGCCGCGGGCAGGGATAGGGGAGTGATCAATCTGTGATTCAGATTGGAATTTTCCACCCAAGTGACGTATCAGAATCAAGCCCTCTGGTGGATATTTCCCAAGGACCCCCCAGACTCACCAATAAAGTCATTCGATTTGCCAATGTCGTAATCCCACACCGTCACCTCCAAGGTCTTTTTGGTCAAGTCGCCGTGCTTGATCTCATAGCAGAATTCCTGTGAGGAAACAAGTGGAACTGATACTCAGGAGAAACGTTTAACTCCATCAGATGTTTAACTCCATCCTTTCTCCAAGCCCAGGCCTGCCATATGAAGTCCCAAAGGAACTCAGCCCAACTTGAGGAACCTCATCCTTTCCACCTTTCACAAAGCAGGGCCTCTGGACTGGCTCTTGCCCTCAGGAGAACACACACGAGCCCCTTCAGGAGTCAGGCCTGGCCGGATATTATCAGAACAAGCTCAGGTAACTTGTAGTTCAGGACCTTGTAGTTCACATGCATTTTGTGATGGAAACTGCACCGATCCTGGGGTCCAAAACTCCTAGGGCTTGAGTAGCTGGCAAAGTCAGTCAGGCAGCACCAGTAGGAACAGGGTGGTTCAGGGCAAAATCAAAGCAGGACTCGCTGGGTAAAGGGGCAGAACTAGGAAGGGATTTATCCTCTTACATTAGCTGGATTTGAGTCCAGTAGCACCTTCCAGACCAACAAGATGGGGGGGGGGTATAAGCTTTCAAGTGTCAAAGCTCCCTTTGGCAGGTACTTTGACTTTTGAAAGCTTATAACATAAAAATCTTGTTGGTCTCTAAAGAACAGAAGAAGAAGAAGAAGTAGAGGAGGAGGTAGAGGAGGAGGAGGAGGAGGAGATTGGATTTATACCCCGCCCTTCACTACCCGAAGGAGTCTCAGAGTGGCTTACCATCTCCTTTCCCTCCCCCTCGCCACAACAGACACCCTGTGAGCTAGGTTCCCCTTAAGCTGCGCCAAGCTGTGCTGGCGCACCGATTTCCCCTGGCCAGCGCAGCAATTTTTACCACAGCGCAGGGGCGAGAGGTTCCCTTCCCAATGGCCATGCAGCACGGATCCATTTGCTCAGGCAGCACAGAAACACAGCAGTATGCTTTGTGTTTCCTAATCTGGGCTGGCCCCGCCTCCCCTCAGCTGGGGTTTGCTTCCCCTGTGAAAGGGGGCACTGCTACCCTCCCTGGCAGTCCTCTGCCTCGTGCTCCTGGAGATACCCTGGCCCAGAATGAGGACTGCTCTGTTGCTCAGCTTCTGCCCTTCCTGAGGTGAGCTGCCTGGTTGTTTGTTTCATCTTGGGGTAGGGAGCCGGCCTCAGCAGCATGCTAGTGGTGATCTGGTGGCTTCTGGTGCTTTGCGAAGTGACTCTCTGTGCCCTTAAGCCTGCAAATTAGTTGGAGAAGGTGGGGGGGGAGCCGGGCTCAGCAATGTTCTACAGGCGATTTGGTGGCTTCTGGTGCTTTGCAAAGTGACTCTCTGTGCACTTAAGCCTGCAAAATTAGTTGGAAAAGGTGGGGGAGGGGAGCCTTAGAGGGAACATTGCCTGTGAGGTAGGCAGGGCTGAGAGAGCTCTCTTGAGAACTGCCCTTGAGAGAACAGCTCTGAGAGAACTTGTGACTGACCCAAGGTCACACCAGCAGCTGCATGTGGGAGGAGTGGGGAATCAAACCCGGTTCTCCCAAATTATAAATCACCCTCCTAACCACAGCACCAAACTGGACTCAAACCTAGCTGTTCTACTGCAAACCACCATGTCTGCCCTTTGAAAGTATCCTCTTAGGTGTGCAGTGATGATTTTAGGGCGATTGTTTTCATGATTTTACTGCATTAGTTTTTACTGTGTGAAATGCCTTCAGCAGGTCTCCGGAGAGACAGCAGACATACAGTTGCTAATAAACAAGCAAGCAAGGGGGGAGTTTGACAAGCCCTGGAATGTAATGGCTCTTTAGAATCTGACAGGGACAAAGAAGAGCAACATGATTTCGTTACAAAAAAACCCCCTTATCCATATTGGTATGAATGGCAGTTGCACTCTGCTTTCTGCTGCTTGTTGTGCGTCTGCATGCGATTAGATTGTTATCTGGTATTGGCATGTAGAATGCATGCCATTTATATCCATATAATGCAGATTCATGGACATGCAAACAACACTGAAAACTGCACACATTTTATGGGGAAAGCACAGGGCAAAGAGTCTTCCCTTGAGGCACCAGAACATGGTGGGAAAATAAGGAAATGCGGGTTTGATTTGCACCAGGAAAAAGCCAAACAGGAACAAGGATCTTGGGTTCGAAACTGCAGGGATGAGAAATCCAAAATCATCTAAAGGCAGAGACAGTTTTACGGGTAAACGACCAGCCGACGACCTGGCGATGTTGCATATCGAGAATCCTCCTCCCCAGACACGTACCCACAGGATCCAAGAAGAAGAACAGAAATACCTCGTTGAATTCAGGATTGAGCGTTTTCTTCTTGACGGCTGTCTTGTGCTTGGATTTCTTGTCCTCATCTGGTTTCAGGTACCTGCAAAGATATCACCCATCAACACAGGTTGTTTTTTTAGCCTTCAGCCATGACAGAGGTGAAGAAAGGCAACACCGCTGGATGCACAGAAAGGACTAGATATTGAATTCTGACGCTCTGCTATCTGCACGACAAGCCGTTTACTGACATGTGGTAGCAAGTAATGTGTCATCGACCCCTAGCTTTGACCCAGGCTTGGGGCCCGGCTGATACTGCGGCAAACAGGGGCACTTTCGGGGTGACTGATTGGCCAGGAAGGGATGTTACCTAAAAAGAGGAAGTGTTAACGTGTTTCTAATACGAACAGAACAGACACCTGGCTTGCTGACAAATTGCACAAATGCAGTGGAGTGGTCTTAATGGCAATCCACGATGTGTTGGGTGAGAAAAAGCTGGGGAGGGTTACCAATTTCCTGGAGATGGGAGGGGGAACTTGAGGAGGGTGGGGTTTGGGGAGGAGAGAGACCTCAGTGGGGTATAATGCCAAAGAGTCCACCCTCCACAACAGCCCATTTCTGTAAGAGAACTGAGCTCTGTCGTCCGGAGGTCAGTTGTAATTCTGGGCTACCAACACAAAAACTCTGGTTTTGGTTCTTCCTAGGGGTTCCCCTGCCTTGGGGGGCTTTGATCCGCTGCCAGCTAGTTGGCTTGTGGGGGAATCCCCCCCCCAACAGGGACATCTTCACACAACAGCTCCAACACGATGACATCACTCCAGGGTGACGTCATCACTCTGGGAACGTCGTGCAGCGTTGGTCTGGTGTTTGGACGAACTATGGTTATGAAGGAAAAAAGCCCATAGAATTTTGCCCCAGAACTGGAGTGTTGCGTCTGACATCGCTGATACGATGACATCATTTCTGGGTGACATCATCACAATGGGACATCACGCGTGACATCCCGCCCACCCCTGGAACAGCCCCCCTCCCAATTCCCCCGCTGTGATGGCAAGGGGACCTGACCACCCCAGCTCTTCCCTACAAACAAAGACTAAAACCAAGTTTGGAACCTCACTTTCTAGGCAGAAACTCAAGCTACAGATTATCTTGGGTCCTCATTGGGGAGGAGGGGGGAAGGTGGGATATAAAGGAAAGGAAAGTGAGTAAGTTCCTGTCTGAACAAGGCCTGTACTTCAAAGCCTTCCCTTCTCCAAACCCTCTCAGGATTCAGAGTTCTTGCAATTGTAGGATCTTTCCCTGGTCACCACCCCTAGTTCTTGTCGATGTTAACTTAGCGTCCCTAGGGCCAGGAGGGACCAAGCGATTCGGCAACTCGGATCTCAGTGCCCTTGGGGGAACGTACGGGGAAAGAACCGGGGGCTCTTGACGGAGTCAGAGGACTTGGCGTTGCCAACTCTGGATTGGGAAATTCCTAGACATTGTGGGGATTGTGGGATTCTGGGGGGAGTGTAGAACTTCAGGAGTGTAGAATGCCATAGCGCCCACTCTCCAAAGCACCCATTCCCTAGCTGCACCAGTACTGTGGAATCAGCTCCCAAATGAAATTCGAGCTCTGCGGGATCTTCACCGATTCCGTAGAGCGGTAAAGACCGAGCTGTTCCGGCAAGCGTTTTAATAGACCAGACCACACTGACTGTTCTAACAATTTATAACAGATGGCCACCACGTCTTAATTGTAATTTTAATCCTAATAAGCTATATTTGGTTATTTTATTGATCGTACTGTTTTAGATGTGATATTGTATTAATTGTTATACTGGTCTTTAAACTACTGTAAGCTGCCCTGTGCCGCCTTGGCGGGAGGGCGTGGTAAAAGTCTAATAAATAAATAAATAAACAAACAATAAATAATAAATAAATAAATCCCACAGGCTGACTGCTCTTCTCTCGTTGACTCAGAAGTTCCCCCTCGCCAGGTAGATAACAGAAGATGTCGTGACGGCCACAGACATAAACAGCTTGAAAAGATTAGAGAGATGTGTGGAGGAGAAGCCTATCGACGGCTACTAGCAATGGTGGCTGAGGGGAGCCTCCACATTCAGAGGCATTTATCCTCTGGATCCCAGAGCCAGGAGACAGCATCAGGGGAAGGCCTCGGCCTCTGTGCTCTGCTGTTAGCTGTCAAGAGGAACTGGTTGGCCACCATGTGAGACAGGATGCTGGACTAGAGGGACCACTGGTCTGATCCTGCAGGGCTCTTCTTATGTTTTTAGAGCTCTACAAGTGCCTTCTTTTTTCTTTTACAAGTGCCTTCTTGAGTGCTTGGAAATGTTTTAAAGAGTTCCACCGCCACCACCACCATCATCTGGGAGATGGGCTGCCTAGCATCTGATTTTATTGTTGTAAGCTGCTTTGAGAACCAGCAGCGTACGAATCCGGTAAACAAGCCAATAAATAAATGTGAAGAACGTCAATGAGATGCACCACAAGGTGGTCTGAATTCAGGGGCTGGGCTGGTGGAGGGGGGAGGGGACTGGGATAAAAAGAGGGGGGGGGAGAACTGAACCTAGAAACCTGGGATCCAGAACCTGAAAAGGTTAGTCAAATAGAAAAGAGGGCCAACAATAAAAGCTTAATATAGAAGAGAAGAAGAGATTGGATTTATACCCTGCCCTTCACTACCCAAAGG